TTTATATATGTAACTTGAAATACGTGCACAATAAAGGAAGAAACCCCTGTATTAAAACTTTAGATTTTTTAAGTTTAAATACATTACAGTACGTGGTCCGATTGACCAATTAACATTTTTCAATTAATAATAATTATGAAAGGTATTGGCCGAGATAAAAAAGTCGGTGTTACGAGCGGGATTCGAACCCACGACCTTCGGCTAAATACGCCGCTACTCTACCACTTGAGCCATCGTGACTTCGAAATGGTTCGCAAATTCGAGAGGTGGTGTTGAGATGGGAAGTTAGTTTCCGAGCGGGTCGAAGTCACGATAGCTCAAGTGGTAGAGTAGCGGCGTATTTAGCCGAAGGTCGTGGGTTCGAATCCCGCTCGTGACACTCACTTTTTTATCTCGACCAATACTTTTCATAAATATTTTTTATGGTCGTTTTTTTCGGTTTCTATGGCCCATCGGCATGAACTTCGAATTCGGACAATTTTGATTTTGACTTTCCTTATATGTGGTGGCCTTTCCTCAACCCTAATAAAGTTTCTGCTTTCAGTACTAGAAGTATCGACCACTTTTTCACTTACGGACACTCTGGATCAAGGCATGGTCTTGAGGAAGAAGAAAGTAATTTTAGTTGCTAATGCCAAGCTTTCGACCTATTTTAAGGTCATCATTAGGGTCTACATTAATTTCACATTATGAACAACAAATTTGTACAATTGATTTAACAATCAATATAACTATATAAAACTTACAAAACAACAAACAATATGTCTACAGATTGACTTATTTTTTATTTTTTTACAGGCGATCTCAAATTTCCTTGAAGACATATTCAGTCCCAACATTGCCAAGGAACCTTATCTCAGAGGTCCTCCTCTCGTTATCAAAAAAATTGTATTTTAAAATTAATAAGACCTTCATAAATTGAACTTAAAGCCCATAGGATCTGTATGAATGTTACAATTATTCCATTTATGTTTTAGTGGTCAATTGACCAAGTTACTTCTTTCAATTAATTATTCTTTTTATGTAAGGTCTTGGTTTGAGATAAAAAAAGTCAGTGTCACGATCGGGATTCGAACCCGCGACCTTCGGCTAAATACGCCGCTGCTCTACCACTTGAGCTATCGTGACTTCGATCCACTCGGACAGCCGAAGGTCAGGACTTTCAGTAGTGCCCAGAAAGAACAAACCACAATCTAATTTGACATAATATCAAAAATTTTATATTACAAATTTTTTGGTATTATAAAAATGTTTGTTTACGTATTCTCGGAATGCTAAAACACGAATTTAGACTGCCAGGAGATAAAAAGTCCAGAGTTTCCTTGGACTTTCAGTAATGCCCAGAAAGAACAAAACACAATTAGTTTGACGTAATATCAAAAATTTTATTTTACAATTTTTTTGATATTATAAAAATCGTAATTATTATAAAATGGATCGAAGTCACGATAGCTTACGTGGTACAGCAGCGGCGTATTTAGCCTAAGGTCGTGGGTTCGAATCCCGCTCACGACACTGACTTTTTTATCTCAACCAAGACCTTACATGAAAAAAAAATTAATTGAAAGAAATTACATTTATTATTTTCTAGTTTAGTATGTAGGATCTCTTTTAGTTTTCTTCTGAGCAATCGAAACTGTTAATTATTTCAACATTCGAAAAGGCAAACTTATGCCTACTTGATATTGAATGTTTTGATAGTCCGGTACCAGTTCCGGTTTATTGCCACAATCAGAAACATGACAATAAATTCTATTTTATTCTGTTTTGTTTGACCAACCTGTATTTGATTGGACATTAACTACGCGGGAATCTATGTACAATATTCGATAAATTCAACTTTTCTTCCTTATCCTTTAGTTTAGTGTGTAAAGAGCTCATTTTATTCTTGTATTTGTAACAACAATGTTCATATTTCTGTGGGGTTTTTTTCACCATTTATTAACTTCCTTGATTTAATATCTAACAATCTATTAACCAATGTCTTTGGGTAGTTGTTATTTATTAAAATTCGGAAAGCCCGCTCTTTAACTTCACTCAAGAAGCATGTGCTGCTTAGTGACAAAACTCGTTCTATCTAATTATTAAAATAGGTCGAAAGCTTGGCATTAACAACTAAATTTGTTTTCTTCTTCTTCAAGACCATACCTTGATCCAGAGCGTTCGAAACCCTAACAAACCAAACAAGTGTGAAAAGAAATTGAAAATTAATCCGACGACGATGATTTTACAAGCAAAGGGGCGACAATTCTATTTCAATCCTCGCTTAATTAAATTACAGAAGTCCTTAATTAAGTCGCTCATCTGTAAAACGAAATCCTTTGAAGAATTATCACAAGGGCAGCGGGTGTTTTTAATTGAAAGAGGGAAAAGGAATTCCATAATTAAAAACAAAACTAGATTTGGAGATAGTAAGATACGTTTATTTACAATTGGAAATGTTTTGCAAAAGGTCATCAGTTAAGAACGTGTTATCGCACAAGAGGAAAAGATAGAGGATCGGTCCTACCTGAGCTACATCCGTTCCGCTTTTGATACGAAAAAAAATTCCGATAGAATCAATTTGATCTTCTAGTCTTTTTCTAATTAGAAATGAAGTTTAAAGGTTGAATAATGTTGAGACTATTCTTATCAATCGGTTCCATCTTGTGCTACTTTGCAAACAGTTGCGCATTGTTATCCGTTTATCTCTTTGCCCTGTTTGTAATTTCCTCCAAGATAAAAAAACAACAGCATTCCTTCTAATAATATTAGCGACAATGATTACTCCAAAGTCCATTTGTTGAATGTTTTTCATTTATAATTAATTTCAGACAGTTTCGTTGTTAAGCTTTCAATTCTATGGCTTATTAGTTATTATTTTAACGGGTTTGAAGTAAAACTTTGGTCCATTTATCCTCGCTTTTGATTTTGATCAGAGGGCAAAAGACACCAATGATCAGACTGACAAAACAGTTCTTTAATCCACGATCTTATGTCATCCGTACCAAAGTTTTTCCGGTTTTGTTAGAAAAATCCCTGAAATGCAATTTCCAAGGGGTCCAGCAATAAATGTTTAACCTTTTTAACGTGGAAATGTTTTTGGGCCTAATTTTTGCGTTGGGTTAGGGTTAGGGACGGAGTACGTTAGGTTAGGACGTCACGACGTTTACACTGCATACGATCCTTAAAAAAGAAATTTATTTTTCCTTTTTCATTATCAAGATTGAAAATAATTAATTACTAGTATAAGCTCTCGCCTCCCTGGTTAGAGTTTGGTTAGGTTACAAATTCATGATTAAATGTTTTTCCGAGGAAAGGAGAAAATCTTTTCTTTCCTGCAGTTACAGAGAAGAAAAGGCAAGGAACAGTCGACAGTTTAACATGAAAGAAGACGAGCGCATTAAAAAAAGAGAAGAATCGAAACATAGCGAGCATATCAATGGGCAATTTGTTTAAGTATTTATTTTACAGCGCAATTTCTAATTGTTTTAATTGAAAATAATTAACAGCTAGTTTAAGCTCCCCCCCCCCCATTTAGAGTTAGGTTAGGTTATGTACGATTAGTATTAATTTCATGATTCATTGATTTTCCGAGGAGCGAGAAAATATGAATTCATTTTTTTTCATTCAATTACAAATATACAAGAAAAGTCAGGCATAGAGTCAACCGTTGAACACGAAAGAAGAAAAAAATTATGAAGAAGCATATCAATGGAAAATTGAAGTATTTATTTTAAAGCGCAATTTCTGATTGTCAAAATTGAAACTAATTAACAGCTATTATTAGCTCCTGGCCCCCTCGTTAGAGTTAGGTTGCATATTCATGATTCATTGTTTTTCCGAGGAGCGAGAAAATATGTATTTTATTTTCATTCGTTCAATTACAAAGATATAAGAAACGTTAGGGCTTAACAGCTACTCTAAGCTTCCGTCCGCCTTGTTAGGGTTAAGTTAGGTTAGGATTAGGGTTAGGTTGGACATACAAGATTCAATGCTTTTCCGTGGAGCTGGAGTGCAGCAATTTTCGCCGTGTCACCAACGGCATTCGAGACCTTGTGTCATGAAAATGGCACCTTTTTCCCTTAATCCTTTTTTCTATCGCTCATCGCATTTTATTGAACTGAACGTTTCTTTTCTTGATGAACCCTTTCATTTTAAATCCTTCGAGTCTGCTCATAGATGTTTGACAACATATCCGTAAATTATCATTATCTTAACTATTAAAGCTTAAATATTTGTTTAAAAAACAATTTCCATGTAATTATGTACTTATCTGTGATTAAGCTCTATTAAGACATTCTATCATCAATCTTCCGCAGAAAAATCTACTTTCTTATACTTACCAAACCTCTGGCTATCTTCGCTATAAGAAAATCATTTTATTGCAACGGCATGGCTGACTGTTTACAATTAAATGTTATTCGGGAAAAGTGTCGGTAAAACATAAATAAGTTCATTCCTCTTAAAAATCAGGAAGAAGAAATAACCCGATGTTTTAACGAAAGCATTTAAAACATAAATTATTTCTATAAATTGGCTAAAGGCTTGTATTTATAATTCTTACATAATTTAACTTATTGCGTTATAGGAAGGAAAGGAGTTTTTTGTTTAAGAAATTTAATAGATAACATAATCTGGAGGACAAATTATACTTTCTAAACGTTGTAAATTATAGTCACCTTTTGTAAATATTTGAAATCGTAAAACCATTATTATGCACTTTTTTTTTTTAATTTTTAGCATCACTAATCCTTTTGAAACATAAATCCTTATAACTTAAGTTCCAACATTAGCATACAAAATGGGTAATTTTAAAAAGAATAAATAATGTTTCACACCAGCATACTAAATTTTATGGTCATGATTTAATACAGTGATTCAGAAGAAAAAATAAATAAAATAAAATAAGCAATTTACAAAAAAAAAAAAAAAAAAATCATATTCCCTTATCTTATCGGTAAACGGAATGAATACAACATGATAAAATGTTTTAGCAATATAATATCAGATCGTAGCCTAAACAACTTGTCCACTGATATGCTCGCTTCATTTTTAAATTTTTATAAATTTTTTTTTTCATAACTGTGCCATGGCGTTTCTTTTCTCTTCGTAACTGTAGGAAAGGAAAGAAAACACTCGCTATTTTCTCCGCTTTACGGAAAACGTTGATCAATGGGTATGTAACCTAATCCTAGCCCCACCAAACCTAGCCCTAACCCTACGTAACCTAACACAGCCCTGGGGGACGGGAGCTTACACTAACTGTTAACTATTTTCAATTTAGACAATCGGAAATTGCGCTATAAAATAAATACCTAAACAAATTTTCCATTGATAGGCTCGCTTTGTACTATTCTTCATTTTTTTAAATGTTTTTTCTTATTTCATGTTCAACCGCTGTCTCTGTGCCTTTACTTTTCTTTTCTCTTTTTTAACTGTAGGAAAGAAAAGAAAACACTCGCAAATTTTCTCCGCTTCACGGAAAAACATTCAACTACGTCTCTTTCAGCATCCCATCGCGGCACGGTAAAGCGGGGAGGCGGGAACACACCCGATGCTACGCCATGCGACGCTACCCGATGCTACCCTCTACGCTCTGCGATCCCCACTGTCCAGGTTTTCGTAGGGTAGCATCGGGTAGCGTCGCATGGCGTTGCATCGGGTGTGTTCCCGGCTTAAACGTCGTCCTAACCTAACGTAACCCGTCCCTAACCCTAACCATACATCACCTAATCTTACCTTGTGGGACGGAAGTTTTACAAGTTGTTAATTATTTCACAATCTTTGCAATCAGAAATTGCACTACGAAATACTTAAATAAACTGTCCACTGATATGCTCGCTATGTTTCGATTATTCATGTGTAAATGTTTTTAAATGTTCTTTTCTTCTTTCATGTTCAACGGTTGACTTGGCTTTTCTTTTCTCTTTTATAACCATATGAAATAAAAGAAAACACTCCCATCACAGTTTCCACTTCACGGAAAAACATTAACTATAGATATCCTAACCCTAACCTAACCGAACAAATGTACATACCCTGATAACATAAACAAAATTGTGTATTCAATAAAAAACATAGCCATGTTGAAATTTAATTTTCTGTTTTAAGTAAATATAATTAAAATTTCACAAGAATGTTGATTGATTATAATATTAAATTAATACTTTATTTATTCAATTTAAACACTTATTTTGTTTTAAAAAATTATAATTAAATCTTTTTTCATTTTTAATGGACTCCTTTTACCCTTTTTCCTATAAATCAATAAAAACCATGTTCACTGCATTAGTTACAATACAATTTGAAGTTTCGTTATCATGGGTAAGTCAAATTCATTTGGGAATAATAGATGAATCATTGAAAATTCGTTGATTTGCATTCTTTGATTAAAACTAACTATAATAACCAACATGTTTCAAATTCAACCGATTGGAGCTACAGGTATCAGTTTAACTTTTATAAAATTTAATTGGTACACAACAAATAAATATATTGTTGACAATTTGAATGATGAAGTAAACATTATTCTGTTGGTAATGTGCAAATCACATTCTTTAATGTAAAAAGGGTAAATGAAGGGTAAGTAAAAAGTTAAATATTTCATGACAATTTTATTGATTTTTCAAAAATAAATTGAATTAATTCAATATTAAAATCAACCAGCATAAATAATTTTACTTATATTTAATTAAAATAGAAAATTAAATTTTAACATGAATATGTTTGTGGCTGGATACACAATTTTTTTTTGTTATCAAGGAATTTATATAAGTTGGGTTAGGCTAGGTTAGTTAGGGTTAAGGTTAAGGTTAAAGTTAGGGACAGGGGTTAGGTTGCATATCCATAGTTGGATGTTTTTCTGAAGCTGAAAAAATTTGCGAGTGCTATTAGCATTTTCTAAATTCCTTTCTTCTGACAATAACTTTATATTACATTGTTCAATATATCCCTAGATAGAAGGATTAATTTTTATTGTTTGATATTCGTTTTTAGAGGAGATGGAACTGAAAATGACAAACCTGAACCGCTCCATGTCTCTTCAATCTCTTTGCAGCTCATCAAAGGAAAAATGGTTTGGGTCACTCAACAACTTGGACAAATGTACCTCAATTGAAAAATATGGTTCAAGCGAAAATCTGCCTCCACCTAAACATTGTTCGACACCAAAGTCCAAAATTTCTAACTATTGCAACCAAAAAGCACTCTACAGGTGAACTTTATATTTTAAATTTTATTTTAAAACAAGCTACGTTTCATTTTTTTATTTACAGGAATTCTTATGTTGGCAAAAAACAAAATATTTCCAATACATTGAATCCAACACCCGTTGATGTTTGGATGGAGGAACTACGTGTAAATTATGCATCCGAATGTATGACCTCCCTACAAAGTAAATCATTATTTAGCGATATGAACAGCAAAATAAAAATGCTCGTCGAACTGACAACTAAAGTCATTAAAATTCTTCATCAGCAAACATACCTCATTGCAAAAGAGTTTGACCACATATACAGGTGAATTTTTAATGACGGCTTAACAGCTCAATTGATGATCAATTACAGTTGCGTTTTTATTTAAAGGTGTTTGGAAAATAATTTGGAAAATGGTGTTTACGCCTTAATCGAATCGCTAGTTTATCACATGATTGATGTTCTTGAAGAACATTCCAATTGTGGAAACAACTTGGATGCTTATTATCAAGTCCTGGAAATGATTGATCCGATTACTTTGGATAGACTTTTACCTTTACCAGAATTGATATGGAAAATAAATGCTCTCGCTTTGGACTTTTCGAAAAAGATTGATATTCTACTATTAGAACAAATTAAGGTACAAATTTTAATTATTTAAACCTTTTACAATGAAGAACAATAATAAAATAAATATTCACAACGCAATTGCCATTATTTACATAAAAATTTAAATTTAATATTGGACATTTTACAATTCTAGTCAAAGTCTACACTTTACAAACCAAATGGTAAAAAATGGTCTGACCGAATGAAAATGTTTCATTGTTTGCTATATTTCATATAAAACCTATTGTTTTAGATAATGGTTGGTGTATTGGAACCACAACAGAATAACGATAGTTTGGCCATTGTCATGGATGGATTAAATGTGGTCGAATTACAACCAGATCATCTTGGAAACTTACTTGCTCGATGCGGAGGAATGACCACTCTGGTGCAACTACTTGAAACATGCAATAACGATTCAATAAATACTTCTATTGTGAAACTATTGGCAAGAGTGTGCTGCACACCGAGTGCAATTAAAGTGTTTAAAGATGTAATTACATTGATACTGTACTATAAACTATTGCATTGATGACAAAAAATTACATTATCTGAACTTATCAATAGATGGAGTGAATTCTCTTTAGGAAAGAAATCACATATTTTCTCCGCTTCACAGAAAAACATTGAACTATAAATATCATAACCCTAACCTAATTTAACCTAACATGTCCCTAATCCTAACTGTACCTAACCTAAACATTCTAACCTAACCTATCCTGCCCCTAAACCAAGCCCAAATATTTCTAACCTAAACTAACCCAACCCATGTGCATTCCCTTTAATTAAATTTAAGTAAATATTTTCATGATGCTGATTGATTTTTAAAATTAAATTGATGCTCTTTATTTAAAAAAAATAATGTTTAATACTGTACTATAAGCTTGTGCTTTATAGTACTTGTTAATATATTTAAAACCTTTTTGATTTTGCAGAGTTGCGGCTTGGAAATATTATGTAGAATGCTATCAACTTCTGAAATTAATCACAATAAAATGAAAGAAGGAATGCTTCTATTGTTGCAAGTCACTGGACCATGGCTTAAATACAAAATCATACCCTTAGAAAAATACGTAGTGCCCATAGTTTCTGCTTTGACAAGTAATTATATTGAAAATATTCTATTAATCTCTTTTTTTTAATGTATATTACACTTAATAGTTTAATAGCTTATGAACAGTTGTCAACAGTGGGAAAATATTGTAATTATTCTTAGATAAATTTGTATTTCAGGACTACTTATGCACGCTATTAACTCAGAAATGATACTTATCGCAGCAGCAGGTTTGGCAAATTTGAGCCATGAAGAAATAAGCTTGAAACCAATTGTTAACGAAGGAAGTGTTAACACAATACTGACAGTGATTAGGAACGGAGGTGTTAATGCAAGCATATTTTTGAAAGAGCAAGCGGCCACTATAATTTTAAACTTGTCAAACAAGCAAGAATTCCGCCATTATTTATGCGAAATCAGAGTCATACCAGCAATACTCTGCTTTCTCAAGTATGAATTAACATCAAAGACTTCATCCCTGATTGAAGCTACTACTTACAGGGTCCAATACAAAGCTGCTTTAACTCTCTCCAGGTAACATTAAAAAGATTCAATTAATAACTCTTGTCTACTATCAGTTTACTTAATATTTAATGCTTTTGTAAGGTTGTGCAACGAACGTGAAGCAGTACACCAGATCCAAGAGTTGCAAGGAGTGTCAAGAATCATTAAACTGTGCAAAGACGGAATTGAAAAAAACGGTCAAGACGGTGTAATTACAGCGTCGATGGTAAGTAACCGTCATCATAGCTTGTCAAATTTAAACAATAATACTGTCGCATTTTAGGAAGCACTGCACAAAATAATGGCATTCAGCAAAAATGAGGCTCTGCAAAAAGGAAAACAATTGTCAATTTGCTCAAAACAATTTGTATCGATCCATTAAAAAATCTTGGAAAGATTGCAGCTTATCATTAGACATTTAATTATTGTTTTTACCAAAAGCATGACTTTATTGTTATTTTTAAACATAAAATAATTAGTGTTACCAATATCAAGTGCAACAAAGATGTCATTTATAGTTTGTCTTAAGTGTTATTTTTTTAACATTATAATTAAAATCTTGTTAAAACTACATTATGGTTTTATTGTGATGTAAGTATTGTATTATTAATTTTTAACTGTATGCTTATTGATATGCACTTATATTGACATAACATTTGAAATTTTTAACTTTAATTATTAATAATTGCTGTTGTGTACATGTTTATCTCTGTTAATAAAATTTTATTGATGAAGAATTTTTTCCATTAAGGGATTTATACGTCTCCTGGCTCGTAGACCCAGAGTCATGGGATTTCTGACTCCTCCCACTCTGTAAACCAATATTTAATCATATATACCTCTGTTCCTGGCTAATAAGGATTAGGCCACTAAAAAAAGGTTTCCTCAAGAAAATTCTTCCTTTTAACATTCCATGGGTAAAATACATCCTCCCCCAACAGTTTGCTGAAATCACTTGGCAAAATCCTTGAACATCTCTTGAAGCACCTATATCTCATACTTGAAAGCTCAAGAGTCGTTCCATCTCATCAATTTCAGTTCAGGTGACATCACAGTACCATTTGACAGTCCTCAGGGAGGTAGACATCACTGCATCCTCGCTTGCATGGGAAGAATGCTGCTCGGGCATTTTTCTAGACTTGTGCATCCTCTGGAAACGCAAGGGCATCCTTCAATTCACATCTGACTTTCAAGTACAAATCAGAAAATCCATCCACTATGCTGAACCGGGTTTTCTGCAAGGCAGCATCCTTGGCCCCATTCTCTACTCATTATACAATCCACAAATTTCTGTCAAACATCAAACCGACCCGGACACAGTGGCAACCTTCAGAAAACTCCATGACAATCTTTCCTGTTTACAAGAATGGTCCAAGGAATTATGGGCCAGATCAGACTCAATGAAGACAAATAGGAAGAGGACCTTCACCTAACCTGCACCCTTTGTCATCACTTTTCCTCCTATGAAATCTCATTATTTGGGACTTGACATTGACAAAAGACTTAGAACCCCCGACTTGATTAAAAAAAAAAAAAAAAAAAAAAAAAAATTAGAACTAATAGAACTAAACAAGGAATACAAACTTCTCAGAAGACGACTTGCTTACCACTCAAGAAGATCAACCTCGAAGATGGGAGGAACACTTCTAAGAAATCCTCAACAGAGAATGCATAAGACCCCTGATTTCAGAACATACCATTCAGGTGAACAGCTTCACATTAACATAGAAGAAACCTACCCTAGAGAAGATAAAAGCCATAAGTGAACTTAAAAAAGGTAAGAGGGCCAGCGTGGATGGTATCCCACCCGAAGCACTAAAAGATGACCGTCCGAAAAGTGCACAAATGTTTAGCCTTAATAATAAGTCGAATCAGGCAGAGTGAGACAGTACAAAGCGAATGAAAAAAAAAAAAAAAAAAGTGTATCTTTGTAAAGATCCTGAAAAGAGGAGATGTTACCACTTGCAACAGGGTGTTCCTGTTGACAGCAGCCAGCCAAGTTTTTGCTAAAATCATCCTTAAAAGAATTAAAGCCATTTTTTAAAAGCGACTGAGGATAGAGCAAGTGGATTTAAAGAAAAATAAACCTGTAGACCTTATTAATACACTGAGAATTATAGTTCAGTAATGTGTTGACTGACAGCCTAGCCTTTAAATTTTGAAAAGTCCTACTTGATTGATCGTGGACAAATGTGGTTAATTTTGAAAGATACGGCATTCCCCCAAAAATTGTTAACCTGATTAAATGTATATGCCAAGGATACATCTGTCAGGTGAACCATGAAGGGATGCTTCCAGAACAGTTCAACGTGGACAGAGGAGTTAAGCAAGGACGCATCCTGTCACCCACCCTTTCATCCTGGTACTGGACGCAGTCATGAAATGAGGTCCTCCCTTGAAGGGAGGAAAAGAGACATTCAATAGAGATTACAGGAAAGATTGGAAGACCTTGATTTTGCAGATGAATCTGTCTCTTAGCACCGAGGGTAAGTGACCTTCAAGCCAAAATAACGGCCCTAAACATTACTGCCAAAGGGGTAGCCTTAAAAATAAATAAAGAAAAAAAAGAAAAGAAAGAAGAAAGTTAATGAGAATAAATCCTAGAACGGATAGCCCGCTGATAGTGGACGACCTTCAAGTTATTTTAATCTTAAATCAGTTTATTTCTTTACCTACCTAGGGGAAGCATGGCGTCAAAATTTGAAGATACAGAGGACGACGTGAAGAGCAGAATTAGGAAAGCCAATTGTGTATTTATAAAACTATATCCGATATGGAGGAACTAATCCATCTCTAGGTGAACCAAACGTCGGCCCTTCAACACGATAATCAAGTTCGGCCTATTATATAGATCCAAGACTTGTAAGTCAACAAAACTGTGATGAGTGCTCTTAGGTTTTTTTGAACCACTGCCTACAGCAGATTCTCGGGATATGGTAGCCAGTACAAATAAGCAATGTAGAGCTCTGGAAAAGAACTGGCCAGCTTACCATGCAGAAGTATGCAAGAAAATGGAAATGGATAGGACATACACTGAGAAAAAGAGAAGGCGCCTTCTAGAAAAGAATGGAACCCGCAAAGGACACGCAAGATTAGACGACCTAATTAGGCAAACATGGAGATGATTACTGGGAATGGAACAAAGGACAGTTAGGAAGTCGTGGAGAGAGGCCAAGAGTTGTACAGCAGACAGTGAGGGATGGAAAAAAATTGTGCTCGCCCTATATTCCACTGTGGCCAACAGGAATAGAAGGATGTACACATTACAATTACAACTGAGTGTTCCGACCTCCATAATCCACTCCAGTCAAAAATCCATCAAACCACTCTATTACTACTTCTTGGGATAAAATGAAATAAACAACAAACTTACTTTTATATTTGATCTTTAATTAAACCTTTGTTCATATACATTGGCAATTTGAAGAATTTCTTCGGCATATAATGAAAAACAAATCAAAACAATACGGCTCATGTTTAGCAATTATTTAAATTTATTTTTATGATATTGCAGTTGCTAACTTCTTGACTTGACCCTTAATATTAAATTCCATTGTACATTCAAGTCGAATAATATATTTGTATACTCTGGACTTTAAAAGCCTTCAATAAATTACAAATATTAAGAAACAATATAATAAAACTGATTTTTTTTCCATGCGGTTTAAAACTTCTCTATGCTACATCTAGAATAATAAATTACTAGTATCGTTCAGCTACAAAAGTGCTTGACATTCTGCGTTGAAAAGATCGAAACAATATAAGGCACAATCAGTATCTGTCTTATTGTCCACAAACTATCACAGCACAATTTAATTTATTTATAAAAATATGGAAAATAATCATTTGTTACTCAAAGTTAATTTCCTGATTTGAGACAATGAAATAATAAACATTTTGTAATTCATATATTTATAATGTTCGATGTTTAATTTTAACGGATTTGTTCGTAATTTTACTCATTTTCTGTTTTAATTAATAAGTTAAAAACCAAAACACATTCCTTACGTCGAATCACAAAATTTAAATTTTATAAATTTCATTAGTTAATAATTTATTTAATGATTTCTATGTACAACATTTAAAAAATTTCAACAAAAACAAGATACTGGTCAAAAAGAATTTTTTTAAAAATGAAAATGCTTCGACTACCATAAACGGTTGCAAATTGTAATGCAAGTCATGAAGAAAAAAAAAATTACTGAATGAACAAAACAAAGAAAAAATATGCCACAACACAAATTCATCCAACGAAGATAACAGGCAAATAAGGCGAATGCGATACTACTGCATTCTCAACAGTCAAGACATTGTTTCGTTGCCAGTAGGCATAACAAATAAATCTTTTTTAATTAAATAATTTATAAATTCAAAAAACATTAAATCGAAATATGTCAAAAACAACCCAGTGTAGACAAAATAAACCTAGATTTATAAAATATGCTCTTTATGTAAATAAATATTGATTTTATTTATTTATTTTTGATCTTTGGCAAATTATTATCGTCAAAAGAATAAACTCGACATGCTAGCAAAATAAATTCAAAATAAACAGCTTCCATTGAGCTACGAGTACAACACAAATTGGTAAATTTCTAAAACTTTTAAACAGACATATAACAAAAAAACTCAACAATATACTTTGTAAAGATAAAAAATAATATACATATACAACAGTACAAGCATTCACTGATCTATAGAATATTGAACAAAAAAATTATAAATAAAAAAAAATAGATTGTAACATTATCATGGGTGGTCTCTAATAAACTGTTGATAGTGATTTGATCAAAAATGATCATCTCTGTTCTAACCTGTGTGACCGTGTTCATTGAAAACTAGTCAAATTATAAATTTAAATTAAAAGTAAGCTATGTCATTTATTTATGTTTAAATTGTTTATTAACCGTTATAAAATTAACAATCTGTAAAAAAAGATATTAACATGTAGTTATTGTCAAAAAGGTCAAGATTCATGTGGAAAATATGAACTATAAACATACAAAAAAATAGTGTTTTGTTTAGAGCATGATTTGTCTCTAACTTGGTCATTAAAGATCAACTTGGTTTGCCTATCCTCACTGTTTTGGCCTATCAGATGTATTATCGCATACAGGATAGGCAGCCCAAGATGATCGGTAATGACCAAATTACAGGCACGACACCCAAAAAACTGCACAGAGAATATCAAGTTATTCTTGAATAAAACTGAAAATGGTTGTTACAAAATCCCACCTTCACTAAAGTTATGAACTTGAGATGATCAATTATGATCAAAATTCTATCAATAAGTATTACCCCAATGAAAAAAAAGAAGACTAAAATTTTCTCAGTCTTGGGTTTGCTTTTCATGCAAAGAACACATATAAATAATAAAGATTTGATACTTACATAATTCAATGGGAAATACTTGGCAACAAGAAAATATTGTCTCAGTTTCATATACCATTAAAAAAAAATTTTAAAAACCCTGTGCTCAAATTCAAGAAGCGTATTGACATTAAAATTAATAATGACACCTAATTATCAAAATTTTCTAATATAAAGATGTTTCATTACCTTATTATAAATTTACTTAGCTGAGGCCAAAAAGTTTGAGAGCGTTAAAAGACGTCGAAAGTGCAACATCCTCAGGCGATTTGTTCAGAAATGCCGCTACCATTTCTACGATTGCCGGAAGAGAGCATGGCTCATTTCTTTGAAAAGTGCAATAGCGATGTAAAAATGACAATGACCTGAAACAAAATATAATTAATATCTAAAAATGAATGTGCTGGTAGTGCAATTGATCTGCATTTACCTCTCTGTAAGTGCTGATTTGACGCGGTCTGGTAGTTTGGCAGCTCTAGCATTTGGATACATGAAAGGCGAGTCTGTTTGAACTAAAAGTTGTTCTAGAGGTATAGCATTCTTCTCTAGTAATGATTGGACGCCATCTTCTGAACTATCTTTTGTCAAAAAACCTATAAAAAAATAAATAAATTACAATTTGTTTAATTTTTTTTGTATTAATCATAAAAATACCTGTTATACACAAATAGACTCCGAGATTGAGATATTTTTTCGCATTAACTAGTGAACCTGTATACGAATATAAAACTATAGGGGGCAAAGAGGATTTATGCTCTTCGAGGATTGATATCACGTCATCATGAGCATCTCGTTCATGAATGCAAAGTGGCTTTCGTAATTGGCATGCTAGTTTTACCTAAACAATAAATTAAAAATTTTATTTTAATTTTCCCAAGGGAATAAATTCAAGAAAAAAAACCTGTTGTTCAAAAACTTGTCGCTGTACTTCTGGTGGACTAAAATTCTTATTATAATCCAATCCACATTCACCGATTGCCACACATTCACAATTCATTGCGATTTCTTTTAATTCTTCATAGGTGTCGTCTGCCCACGTTTTAGCCTCATGTGGATGAACTCCTACAATAAATGAATGTTAAATTGTTGTTTAAAAGACTTTTAATGTTTATAGAGTAGTGAGTTTTCTCATAACTGTAATTTAGTCGTTATAGTGTTGCAGCATTGCGCTATCCTCAGTGAGTCCAAAATGTCAAAATACATCTGACACACCAATACTGTTACACCGGACTATTACAGACTAATTAATTTAAAGATATACGTACCAGCAGTTGCGTACAGAGTCCCAGGGTATATCCTACTGAGTCTTAACGCCTCTTTACTCCCTTTTAAAGAAGACGTTGATACAACTATTTTCTGTACTCCTGAACATAGAAAAAACAAAAATCAGATTTATTAATAAACTAATAACTAAACTAGCAAGAATTGTCAGACTAGGGGCTATCAAGGTTAATCAGGCTATAGGCTCATCACCTCAGACTCTAATGGTGAGTGTTGGTCTGAGAGTTGGTGAACTCATGCTGAACGATTGGGCTTAAGTAGTTCTACAAAATCGCAAGTGAAGACAGACCCAATAAAGAGACCCAAATGCTGGTTCAGCACTACCTCAGATTTTATTTTATCTTTTCCTTCACAAATATAAAATATGAGAGATTTCCTCTTAAAGTCTATTGGGTGATTAACCTGTATTTTAGTCGTTTCAAATCATTTTGGTCCAAACAGCAATGATAAACAAACCAAAATGATCGTAAACGACCAAACTACAAATAAAAACTTATTAAGAAGAGGGTTTTATTATTTTTTTTTCAGCTCATGAAATAATGAAATGGCTGAGATAAGATAATGCTCAATTAATTTACGCGAGTTTTTCAAAATGAAAAATTAGTGTCACAGGCGGGACTCGAACCCACGACCTTTGGCTCAATATCACATCATCCACCACTGCTCCAATCACTTGAGCTACTGTGACTTCGATCGCCCATGCCACGAACTTCTCATTTTGAGTTATCATTTTATTCTAAATGTAAGCAAATCAAAGCTTCATATAGAAGCACATATATTAACGACTGTACTACATTAGCGGGACTGTGTACAATGCAAAGGTGTGATACTAGGTTAAAACCAAATTTTATTATTTTTTATCATTTTATTCTTAATTATACATAAGCTCAATTAATTATACACGAGTTTTTCAAAATAAAAAATTAGTGTCGCAGGTGGGATTCAAACCCACGACCTTCGGCTCAATATGCCTCTACTCTAACCACGATAAGATAATGGTGAAAGGACTGCCCTTTTTTTCTAAACAAAAGTTCTAAATGAAAAACTTTTCCTTCTATCCAATGTGAATTGTTTAATCATTAAATCAATAGAAAGTTGAGCTATCTAAACATTTATATCTATGTAATTATGAATTAATAATAAAAATTATTTAGTAAATGAACTACTTTTATGATGGGGTAAATTTGCTTCAAAATATCGGATACGACTAAGTTCACCAGACTTAATTTAAAATAAAGTTCCTCCATTTATTATAAATCTTTTTTTTGCCTTATTTTTCAATATCAGCCAGAGATGAAATGTATTACTGTATTTTTGGAGGAAGGGGGAAGTGAGCCCAAGACCACCGGGTCTATAAGCTGAGAATCTGACACGCTGACCATTCGGCTACTCTCGTCTCCCAATTCTTCATGTAAAAATATTATTTAAAAAATCAAAATCTGAAATTTGATTAAATGTTTCTTAGTATTTGTGAATCTTTCTTTTTCATCAGAGTTTCCACAACGCTCCAGACCTCCAACATGCTAATTTCATATGAACATATTATTGCCTTTTTAAAGTGGTATTGTAAGCTGATCTATGTCAATATACATTAAGAGTTAATAGTAGAGAAATAACCGTTAATGTATGGCAATAGTTGTAAGGAATTTTGTTATATTGGATTGTACATCTGACGGCTTGGCAACTCTAGTAGGGAATAAAGAAACATTTCTAAAAGCACCCAGGGAATATGAATGAAACAAACGAATAGATTCATTGACAATAGAACTAGGGGTGGCGTAATAGAAGCTTCCAGGAATTATGATGTGTTGCATGGACAGCCAGATGTCCATGACCTACCAACAGAAAAACGACATTGAGTGTCAGGGCCTCAAGAATTCGGTTTTCCTTCCCTCCAGGGGAACTCTCAGTTTGTTTCAGGGACGGACAAAAGTGAAGGAATTGAAAAGCATATCGGTTAAGGCACAGGTAGAAAAGTAGATGAGTTGAACTGAGCCGACTGACAAGGAGTTTTCACAAGGTAGCACAAAGCTGAAAGATTCCTGGTGTTGGCAAGTGTCTCATTTGGGATAAATTATGCAAATAAGCTCACCCTTAGGCCGGGTTCACACCTGAGAGATAAGATATTTATCGCATAAACATTAAACCCATGATTTTTATTCTAAGATATGTGGGGTTCATACCGAAGCGATAAGACATAAGCCAGTCAGCCAATCACAAGTGAACACTAGTTCACCTCTTTGGAAGGAGGCCTGAATGTCCTTGACTCACTCAGCGATATGGACATAGTCTATGCCACTTACAGTACCATGTGACCATATGTGACGGAAGGAACCATAGAAACATTGGATTCAATGTGTGCCTCCTTGGAATAAGAACGCATTAAAAAAAAAAAAAACCTTGGAATAAGCAAGATGGATACAAAATAATGTGGACGACTGTGGTTTGTAAAAGCTCCATCCCTGCAGTATTTATTGAGTAACCGCCTCATCTGAAAGAGGCCTAAATGTCCTCGACCCACTTAACGATATGGATATAGTCTACACTACTTACAGTACTATGTCAGGGCTAAGGAATCATAGAAACCTTGCATCCAATGTTTCTATGTCTCCATGGAGTAGGAAAGCATAAAAAAAGTTGGAAACTTGTCCAGATACGCTCATTGATGCCCATCCATTCAACTAGTTCACCTTGTCGGAAAGAGGCCTAAAATGCCCTCAACTCAACGATATGGGTAGTACCATGACGCTGACAGTACCATGACAGGAATAAGGCGTCATAACAACATCGGACAACACACGAAATCTTAAATACTATTTTGGACAAATCGACCCATGATGTACAGATGATGAAGAAGATCCGACAAGGGTCATAGGTCATTATGACTAGTCACTATGACCCTTATTGTATCCTCTTCCTCATTAGAAGTCTTGAACGTTAGCTGACAGTCCAACTGTTCCGGCTTGCCTGTTAAACTTCATTCTAAAGACTTCATTGGACTGTCCTGTCTGGCTTGAAACAGGTCATTCTACAGACACTATTCTGAAATGTTCAAGCATATTTTATAAAGAAACCCTCACCTGCATCTTTAGCCCTCGAGACGACGGATTCTAAATTTCGACTGAATTTTCGGTTCGTCAGATTCGCTCCGACGTCGATCAAAATGTAATTCTCGAAACATTTTTCCATTTTACTGGAATCGGAACTCTTAGATTCTGCCATATCTACCGAATAGTAGTAGAAGAAAAAGTCAGGAAATAGAAACACTTAAGACTTAGAAGAAAAATTATCGTTGACCTCTAAGAAATTACACAGAAAAGCGACTAATTTGGAAAACTATTAAGATAAGAACTAATATCAACTGGAATCTAACAAAGTACTAAAATTAATGTTATAAAAGTAACCTACTCAAACTAAAATTTGTAAACAAGATAAGATGAATCGTTCGCCGAGTGAACGGCTCTCATGAACGATTCAGTTCCGTCATCAGTAACTGGATCAGTAACATTTAATATCTTGATAATAAAATTTATGATGATTGTAATTGATCGGATTCTCTGACAAAATCGGTGAGGAAAAAGGATTCGAATTTCCGTAGGTGAAACTTTCATGATAGGAAAATCATTTTAATCTGGCATCAAAAATTTTTCTTTCAACGTAGACATTTCCTTGTATTAACTATTTTAAATATCAGTTATGGTTTCGATGTAGGAAACTATTTTTTTTAAATAACATTTATTTAATATAAACTCTAACTACAAAAGGATTCTATTTTAAAGTCTATACAGTTAGTAGTCCCGAGTGGATCTGACGAAGAGGGGTCTTAACGCTTACAATACATTCTCTGAATTTATACAGGGGTAATATCATTTGTCGCTGAATTAGTGATTTTGTGCAGGCGTATCTTTCTGCGTTTTCTATGTAAACACACACCCACTCTTTCTCTCTTTTTCATTATTTTTCCTCACACTGTCTCTATTTCTTTTTTTCTTTTTTTTCATTCCTATTATTTCTCTCTCGGTCTGTCTCTCTCTCACTCTCTCTCTCGCACTCTTTATATTTTTCTCAACTATATCTCTTTCTTTTTCTCTTCTTCATTTTCAATCTTTTTCTATTCCTTTTTTCGCTAACACTTACACACTCTGAATCTGTTTTTCGTTTTGTCACACTTTCTTTCTTTTTAAATTCCCATAATTTTCTGTTCCCTTTTCACTCTCGGTCTCTCTCTCTCTTTCTCTCACCCTCCCTTTCTTTTTTTCCAGTCCCATTATTTTCTTTCCCTGCACCTTCAACGGTTACTCTCTTTCTGTTTCACTCTCTCTCTTTTTCTGTTTCTATCTTTCTTTTTTCTCACACTGTTTTCTTTCTTTCTCTTTTTCATTCTCATTTTTTTCTGCTCCTTTTTGTCTCTAAAACTTTCTGTCTCTCTCTTTCTCTTTCTTTCTTTTTTCTCACACTGTATTTCTTTCTTTTTCTCGTATTCCTTTTCATTCTTTTTTTCTCTAACACTGACACCCTCTCTCTCTTTTGTCACACTGTCTTTCTCTTTCTTTCTTTTTTTCATTCCCATTATTTTCTGTTCCTTTTTCTCTCTTGGTCTCTCTCTCTTTTTCTTTCTTTCTCACTCTCTTGCTCTTTTGCTTTCTTTTTTCCCCTACTGTTTCCCTTTCTTTTCTTTTCAGTCCCATTATTTTCTTTACCTTTTCTCTCTCTCTCATTCTTTTTTCCTTTACTCTCTTTCTTTCTGTTTTTTCATTCTCATTCTTCTTCTGTTCTTTTTTGTCTAACACTCTCTCTCTCTCTCTATCTATCTATCTATCTCTATTTCGTTGTTTCTTGCCCCTCTCTCTTTTCTCTTCCTTTCATCTTCTCTCTCTCTCTCTCTCTCTCTCTCTCTCTCTCTCTCTCTCTATCTATCTATCTCTATTTCGTTGTTTCTTGCCCCTCTCTCTTTTCTCTTCCTTTCATCTTCTCTCTCTCTCTCTCTCTCTCTCTCTCTATCTATCTATCTATCTATCTATCTATCTATCTATCTCTATTTCGTTGTTTCTTGCCCCTCTCTCTTTTCTCTTCCTTTCATCCTCTCTCTCTCTCTCCCTCGCTCCCTCTCTCTGTCTTTCTTTCTTTAATTTATCTTGATTGAATTTAAAAGGATTCCATGAATCAACCTTGCATATTCTCCGGATGTTACGTCACAACTTTGAACGACGATTCAAACCATCGGATCATTCCTGAGCGAACGAATCTTATTAGAAAATAGAAGTTTGCAATTTGCAAGGTTAGTTTATAGTTTACTTTACACCTCAATGGATTACACCAAAAACAACTTTGATTAACTCAATTTCCATTGTTTTGACTTAATTTCGGCCATAATGACTAATTCTGAAATTTATTCGTGTGTGACGCTCGATAACGAGAACGGCAACAATGTGGATATGGTATGACAGGCATGACGATCCGTAATATTTTTGTTACGTTGTAAGTTAATTTAGACAAGTGTAACTTCTTTTCAAGAGCTATTGTTCTAGAATTCTTTACAGTTGAACGGCGTACAAAGGAAATAATGAAGCAAAAGCACGGACAGGCAGTCAAGTGTTAGGAGGTCCTACACAAGTTGGTTTGGGAATGGTTTATAATACGGTACAAAGATAAAAAGCAGCAGAGCGTCAAATGTAGGTATCACAGTGTAAGCAAATCGAATGAGACAGATAAATTTGCAAAAGGTGCATCATCGCAGTGGAACCGTATTTAGGCGACCAAGGAAACTGCAGCGAATTGCTTCAAAAAAAGGGTATTTTTCACTAGCCTTGACCTCTCAGTTTGAACTCATGCTGAACCAGTATCAGGCCGCTTATTGGGACTGTCACAGGTTTGAATAATCCAACAAGTGGTTCAGCTTGAGTTCACAGACTCGCAGACCAACACCCAGCATCAACCCTCGTTTGATAATAAAAAAGTTAACTATTTTGACCAGAAGTAAGATGAGGAAGAATGCCATACAAAAGTGCAAACAGGCATTTAGAACAAAATGAAATAAAGCCTGCCCTAAGAGAAATCCATCATAAAATCCTAAAAAATGCTGAAAACAGGGGGTCCTTAGTATGGTACACAGTTTCCAAATGGAATAGGAGTGCGGGCAGGACACAAATTTTGACCATCTATTTTCCAAGGAGGAGAGAGAAAATGGATTACAAGGTTCATAGATTCCAGACAACTAAGCAGCGGAGGTTTTAGATTTCTCAATCTTCAGTTCAAGAACTCAGAGCTGCTAACTTGGATGTCGGCTAGAGCACGATGGGATTGAAGGTGATAGGCTGGAGAAGAAAACCAGGAGCAGCCCTCATGCGGACCAGAACTGCAAAGACTCACCTCCCAAAGCAGAACTGAACAAATGGATGCAGACAGAAATGACTACACACTGAACAAATTCACTAAATAATCAAAGGAAGCAGACAAACAAAAATATCTTGAATTAAGGAAAATAATAGGCCCTTATACTAGGCATTTCCCAATTAATTACCAACTTAAAACCTTGGAAAAACAGGCAGAAACCAGCCTACTATGACAGGAAACACCAGAGGCGCTGGAATTTTGTTATTGCAAATCGTTAGCCCAGAAACTGTACAGTTACATTGGAAAGGCGACATTAACTCCTAGGGAAATAAGCGACCCTGAAAAGTGCCTTGAGGACTTCCTGGAGTTTGGAAATAAAGAAGGGTCAATTTTACGATAGGTCTTTGAGATCACAGTGGAAGACAGGGAAACTACCTTGACTGGTGACCCTGGAATGTAAAAAACAGGAAGAAGTCCTCTCTGCGGGCCGGAATTGTGGAGACACAGGAGAGGGGCCCAGCTACAAGCGATGCAGAAGGAGGTTTGAGAGAGCATCTGAATACATCTTAGGAGGAGGGTTGTGGAGAGAGTGAGTGAATGACCACTGAAGGTGCAGCAGAGAAAAGAAGAACTAACGGGCAGCAACAGTTAGCAAGAGACTGAAGCAACTGGAATTTGGTGTTGGTGAGGTTTGTCTTAGGTGAGGGTAAATATTATCCATCATTCTGGTTAGCCAGGATGTCTCAGCTGCTCACAATGAGGAAAATCTGGTCTCTCTCCTTGGACCTGTCAAACTCAACTTGTCATCTTAATTGCTCAAACAGTAGGCAAATTGGTCAACTTTGGTAGCCACCAATCCCCTTCTGGGTGTCCATCTCACTCAATCCAGGATGGTCTCAGCTACTCACAATGAGGAAAATCCGGCGAAGGGCCAACGCCTTGTCACTCGTCTCTCTTCTCGGTCCTGCCAGACTCGATCTTTCTCCTTAGTGATCCCTTCCTTTATGGTTAAATCCTATTGTTTTTGTAAATTCCATATGAAATTTATAGGATTCGAAGAAAAGTATCTTTAAGCGGTCCCATCATCCATGACACTCAAAACGCAATATATATTTTTTATTAGTCAGTAATAATTTAAGTTGTAAATTAAGTTTTGTTTGGTTAACATTTCTGTTTTTATCTCTTTTTAGGCAGAAAGAAGAGCTCATCACAATGCTTTAGAAAGGAAGAGGCGAGAAACTATTAAAGAAACTTTTACTACTCTAAAGGATGCCCTGCCTTCCTTAAGGGGAGAGAAAATGGTAACTAATCAAAATCATAGTTGGTGGTGGTTACAGTGAAACTATGAACTCTCAAATCATTGTACTAGATCTAACCTGTAGTTTGGTCATTACTGCTCATTTCGGTCTGCCTATTCCCGTTGGTTTGTCAGTGAAAAAAAAGTTACCTTATTGTTTTGTTTTTTTCCAGGCTAGTAGGGCTTTGATCTTAAGAACTGCTGTGGAACACATACAGACCATGCACAGAAGGAATACAATACATCAACAAGATATTGAGGACCTTAGGCGTGAAAACTGCCTTTTGGCTAATCAAAGTAAGTTCAAACTGAATATACGAAAGTAAATTATTTGTACAGTTGAAATCTAAGGGTTTTGCCCATCTTTCGATCACAAGGCACAAAACTCCTCATAGCATTCTTTTTATTATGTGAATTTTTACAAAAATGTTCCTAGGTCATTCACTATAAACGTTGGTGCAATGTCAGCATAAAACATGAGCAATATGTGTAGTCTTGAAGTGATTTATTCCAGTTTAGCAAAGTGAAGTAAGTAGTAAACTCTACGTTCAGTACACAAAAACCTTCAAAATTCCACAAAACGCAAAATCGGTGAAGCTTCAGTTTAGGAGCTTTCTTATGATCGTTGTCCAATCACTTGTAATGATTCTTTGAAAATTGGCCGTCTTTTGGATTTTGCAACAAATTTACACAGATGAAGTTCAAACAGGGCTTAATATTTGAAGATAATTCAAAGAAGGGACTTCGGCCACAGCTACAAATCATGCTAGTACCGGTTTATTGACTGTATCAGTCTGTAAGTTTTGTCTTGCAATAATTTGATAAAGTGAATAATCAGTAATCGACATAATATAAAAACAAAGATCTTAGCAAAAATTATAAAATCCTGTTGTAAGAATAAAGTAAGAACAAATAGTAAAAACCTGTTAATGTTAGGATAATTTAAAGCTATAATATATTTGAAATCTTGTGCTTTTTAATATTAAACTAGAGTAAATTTGACGAATCGTCAACCCAGAATAAAAGATATGTTTTTAAAAAAGGATTGAACACTGCACTCACTCCATCATCCATCATTCATCATTTCTAAAAGATATGTTTCCAAGATCTGGAGGATAAAGAGACAAGATGGCACAGTAAATAGAAAAAGTGATTCATTTAAGGGAGAGTTCCTAAATAATTGCGATAATGTATAGGCAGGGATCATCAATAAAATCAGATTTGTGGCGCCTGGACTTCTACACATTGACGATGAAGGGAATATTCCTCAGTATTTATATTAGCCGGATAACTTAAGTCATGACTTGCCTTTTTAAAAAAAACTTTGGCCAGGCCACAGGAATTTATGTTTCCTTCCCTCCACCCTTATTTGAAACTAATGGAATAAAGTAATTATTACAGGATGGTTTAATGTTTAACTACCCGTTGGGTGTCGTGGACGAGAGGTCAAACCCAATACTTTCTTTGTATTATTCACAATTAAAAACTCATGGGCTATGCCGGGATTCAAACTCAGGACCACTAATGTGGTAAATATAAGTTGAACACCCTTATCACTAAGCCATCCTGGTCTTTTATTTGAAATAATATAAAAGTGGAAGATTGGAAAAAAGAAGATGGACTTCATCCAGGGCATCCAGGACGGCATCCCTCGGCTGCTCACAATGAGGAAAATCTGGCTGACACATTGTCCCTTGTCTCTCTCTCCTTGAGCCTGCCCAACTCAACTTATCTCCTTACTCACTCGAACAGTGGGAAAATTGTCTTCCTCATTGTAGCCACCAGTTCCCTTCTGGGTGTCTGTCGGCCGGACCACGGTGGTTCTGTCTGGAGGGCAAGACATCCCAGCTTTCGCTGCTTTATCTGCACCTTCGTTGCCCTCCAGAAAACACAGGAACTAATGGTTAATAAGAGACTGAAGTATGTGGAATTTCTTGTGGTCTTAGGTGAGGATAAATATTGATAATAAATTCACCTCTAAACTGTTAAAAGTTATGACTGAAATAACTGTAAATATTTTGATCATTATTAAACATTAAATCGGTCCAGGCAAATTACAATAAAGGTGTATAAATCTGATTGTTTTATTCTTGAACCTTTCTTACACAATGCATAAATAAGCATGAAATATCCTAGTTTTTATGATAGAGTGTCTGTGCTGTTTACACAATCAAGTCAAAAATTAGTCTTTACTGTCTGAAATAAATTGCAATATATTTGCTTTTGTTCCAGTCCAATCTCTTGAGAAGACCCACAATGTGCCATACTTGGGTGATCCGGTTCCATTGGATAGTACAAGTTCGGAATCCGATTCTGATCCAGACTGCGAAGGCGATAATAATAAAACCAAGAAACTAACAGTTGCGGGTTTGTAGATTTTTTATATATAATTATGAGTTAGTTTTTTTAAAATTAATGAATGAGCAATCAAATGAAAAAGTGATAGCTAGTGTTAATGAAATGACAAAGACTTAATAACTAGAAAAACTGAGTGGTCCATTTTGATATAATAACAAGAAACAAATTCTTCATAAATTTGTCGAACACATAAAACCCAAATTTTTTTTTTTTAACTCATAAACTTATTTGTGGAGTTAATGTCAAGATCTCAATTTTTTTAATTTGTACTTATATGTTGCTGTGTTTTTTAAATTAATTAATTAATTTTTTAGTTTTATTTTATTTATTTATTTATTTTTAAATGAGGGTTCGCAACAGCAGAGGTCATATCGAACCTCGGGGTGTTGGTGTTTAAAAAAAAGCCCATTTGTAATTAAGTGGGGGACCTTTACCTTAGTGATGAGCACCATGATAACGCCTAAACAGTTGCACCCACCGACAGCCCCATTATTTTGTTACAAATAATTTTGATTAAGCCAACAATTTTATCCCAAATTTTTAGAACCATGGTAAAAATTGTGGAATGATTATTACTTGTGAATTGTTAATGTACTTGTACGTATATTTTGTAATTTTTTAAAAATTATTTGTTAACTGCTTGTAACTGCTTCATAAGACTTTAAATGAAGCTTAATTTATTTGTGAACTGTGTTTTTACAATCACGGTTTTTGATATCATATTGAGATATTTATGTCCAGGAAATTTTAATTACTGGGTAATGTGTTTAGGCATGTAATATTTATTAGGTATGTAATATATATATTATTTTTATCTATTTTTTTGGTATATTTTATTGACTGAATAAACTTTGTATCTAAAAAAATGCAAAATTAATTTTAATTTGCACAGTTTTGTTCCAATTTCAATAAATGAAAAAACACTTGTTTTAATTAATTTTCGGGTTATTTACTTATTTCCTACACTAAATCCTTATATTCTAAATGAATTGCTTGGAGAGGTGAAATATTATCCAGCTTTGGAATTTTCAGTAGTAACATAGGCAAGAGCATATTTTTTGAAAATGATTTGTCATATTTTTTTAACTGCATCCATATCCCATTTGCTCTTACGAAAGTAAAAAAAAAAATCTGTTTAAATTAGGTCTTTCGTAGGTAAGTTATAAACTTCTGGTTCTTAAACACATTTTTTTAATGTGAAAATTTGGTTGGTTTACAAGTTTAAGGAAATTTTTGAACAAGAGCCCCAGAAAACTTGTCATGTATTCAAATTTCATGACCATTCATATGAATCATACTTGATCATTTGGACTGTCCGGCATGTTCCAGAATTTCGCCATCCTCATTGGGTGTTTGTTTGCTTAAATGACAGATGTTTTCATCAGTAGTCTTTTATTATCCTTGTCCGTTTATTCAGACCGTTTGTCTTATTTGAGAAATTCTACATTTTTCATGACTATTCATATCAATTGTACTTAATCATTTGGCCCATCAGGTGTGCTTTGTCATTCACCATCCTCACTGGGTGTCGGTTTGCTTCATTTGAAAATGACCCAATAATTTTTTCATCAGTAATCGTATCCTTGTCCGCTTTTTCTTACTCTCTTACTTCAGCAATTTTACATTTTTCATGACTGTTAATATCACCTGTACTTGATCATTTGGTCTGTTAGGCGTGTTTTTTCATTCGCCATCCTCAGTGGGTATCTGCTTGCTTTATTTAAAAATGACAGAAACATTTTTTCATTGGTAATCTTTGATTATCCCATCCGCTTTTCTTACTTTCTTATTTTAGCAATTTTACATTTTTCATAACCATTAATATCAATCATACTTGATCATTTGGTCCGTTAGGCGTGCTTTGTCATTCACCATCCTCAGTGCGTTCTGTTTGCTTCATTTGAAAATGATAGAATTATTTTTTAAACATGAGTAATTTGTGAGTTTATTCTTAATCTATGCCTTATTTCACAATTTTAAATGTTTTGTCCTGGTTCATCTTGGTTGTCATATTCTTTGCCTGAACATCTTGCTTTGGCCAGTTACGTTTTTTTTACAATCTTTTCCTGCACTTCTCACAAAAATTACTTTGTGATTTTATTGTTCGCAGCTTTATAATGACTTCAGCTAACTAGCATTCATATTAGTTATTTCATATTCATGTTCATATTAGTCTTCCTTGTTCTTAATCTTGCTTTAATACCATTGACAATTTTGACCATAGACATTTTGACACCATAGAACCATAAAAGTCCTACCATAGACCAGTGACAAAATTTGAATGAATGAATACTGTACAATGAAACTGAGGAGAATTTTTGTTTTAATTAAACAAGACTGACAAGTGTTTTTCAACAAGAACCACTTCGGGGGGATCAAGTGAGATTTTATGTTGTAATTTTCAATTTTATGTACAGGTAAAACACTGATTGTACATATCCTGTGATGTTACTGAACTTATAAGACGAACGAGTACTCGTTGTAAAATTAACGTAAGAAAAACAATATAATGAAGTATTTTTATTTTGTTTCTGTTGAAGTGAAATTGTGCGTATTTTTGTATCATGAAATGATTTTGTTTCACGAAATGTTTTTGTTTTACAGGTTGAAATTGCGGCTGTTAAAATAAAAACTATGTTTAACTTAAGTTTGGTGCTGTAAAAAAAACCTTTATATATATATACATATATATAAAACCAGTTACTAGAAGATTTAAATTTTTTGTTGATTTCACATTAATTTTGTCGTGATATTATTAATTTATATAGATTGAACTTGCAAAATTTATTATTCTAAAGTTGATATGTTTTCTATACTTTTAATGTTACCAACTCTGTGGCAATTAAGAAAAAAATGTTGATTTTGGATAGATTTTTTATTTTTATTTTTACATAAGTAAATATTGTTTTTGTGACAAATATAAATGATTTATCTTAAATTTAAGGTTAATAAAAAATATTTATGATTTGTTGGGATGATAAGTTGTCGTTAATTTTCAGTTAATTTCCCATACAAAACACAGAAATCAAAACAAATTCCATTTCAACAGCACGTTAGGAGCAGCAAAAACAAGCCTATACAGATTTTACAAGGAAGAAGAAGAAAGCGGAACGTTCTCTGTTGCGAAGGCTGCAGGCTGAAATTCCAACTCATAGGAGAGGAAAAGCCAAGGCCTAAAGGATACACATGGTAACCCTTAAAAAGCTTTTGGATATGTTAAAAAGCTTTAAGCTTAATGAAGAGCTGAGAAGAAAGACAGTGACCAATATTGGTCGTGGTATGCAAGGTTGTAAATAGGTTGACTTCATTTAACTTTAAGACTTAAATTGTAAAGACTTAAAGAAAAACTTCATATTTTTTTCTAAATATGCCAAGTTTCAGAATTTGAAGTAGAAAAAGTGTACTTGGCGGGGGTAAATGAACAAATAATTCCTGGTTTTTTTTTTCTAAATTTAAATATAACAACATTCAACATACCAGGTATCAAGAAATTTGAAATTTCGCAACACAATGTACAATTAAAAAACTAGACCTCGAGTTTCAGTAAATTGGGCTTGGGGGCACAATTTAACATTTTATAATGTAAGCTCCCTATGGATTTCACACCATCATTGGGAAATGTTCATCCCAAAAAATGTTTTTGGTTAGATTCACTAATTTCGTGGTCCGCTTGACCAATTAAACATTACAATTAATTAAGGTTTTTAGTTGAGATGAAAAAGGTCACAATAGCTCAGGTGGGAGAGCAGCGGCGTATCAAGCCGAAGGTCGTGGGTTCGAATCCCTCTCGTGCCATTAGCTTTTTTTCATCTCAACTAAAAACCTTAATTAATTGTCATGTATTAATTGGTTAAGCGGACCACGAAAGTAGTGAATTAATGATTTAAAAATGAAGTACACTTCACTAAAGCTCTCCGTTGCCATTTCAATTGTCGTCGAGAATCCAAACCGATTACACGACATTTGAAAAATGGCAAAAGGAGGGAAAACTCATAAGGTGAAGTTGAGATGGGGAGTTGATGTGCGAGTGGATCGAGGTCACGATAGCTCAGGTGGGAGAGCAGCGGCGAATCATGCCGAAGGTCGTTGGTTCGAATCCCTCTCGTGCCATTAGCTTTTTTTCATCTCAACTAAAAACCTTAATTAATTGTTTTTGGTTAGATTAGGTAAGGGATGGGTTTGGTTAGTTTAAGTTAAATAGAGGTAGGGTTAGGGCTGGGCTAGGTTATGTAGGAAGAGAAAGCATGTACTGCACTATCTAGAGCAAAATGAAAGTAGATAATTCATTTTTTGTTTTAATTTAGTTAAACCTGACAAGATTAAATATAAAAAATGACAGGAGAGGGCGTCAGTTGGTGCAATGGTTTAAACATTGACACAGCACTCATCTCTGTAAGACACCCTGGGGATTAATATGACCTCAGCGGTGTTAAATGATTTTTGGTTACCAAACAAGCACTAACTCTTTCAAAAACTGCTAAATTTAAATTAAGTAAAAAAACTAAATTTGCAACCTCATTGGAAATATTCATAGTAGAGCTTGGCAAATTTCGGTTAATAAGCTTTTTAGCGGTATAACCTTTTTTTTCCAATTTCATACAACCCAAAAGGGCAGACATTTTAAGCTGAAAAATAGTGGTGACTGTGTGAAAAAGGGTTAAATGTAGAAATTTAACTTTTTGTCCTGGGCAATATTTATTTAACAACTTTAACTTAATAAAAAAGTACAAAAAGAAAGAAATATGAAATAAGACACATAAAAAAGTGAAAATAAACATAGCTAACAACCAAAGCAGAAAAATTAGACAAGATACCTTCACTAAACATAGGCAACACAAAACAAAAGCAACACTACAGAAGTTGTCAAACACAACTTTAACCTGATAAACACACACACACACAAAGGGAAAATTCAATGTAAAAAATCAAAAACACAGCAAACAACCAAAGCTGAAAAATTAGACAAAACATCTATACTAAACACAGACAAAAAAAAGAAACAAAGAAAAATAATACAGAAGTTGTACAAACAACTTTAACCTTATAAAAAAGCACAAAAAAGGAGAAAAACTAAACGTAATTTGGTTGTTCATGATATTTATGACCTCTATTTTATGTTTTGAGTTACGTTGAATTATTCTCTTTTTTGTGCGTTTTTATTAGGTTAGTTTTCTAAATTTAATTTAGCAGTTTTTGAAAGATTTAGTGTTTGTTTTGCTACCAAAAATTAAATTGCATGTTCTAGAAGGGTTCCTTCTTAACAGGAAATAGAACGCTCTTTTCAATGCTTTTTTAAATTTATGATGAAAACTGTAGATAATTCAAAAAAGAAAAAAGTTGAATTTCTGTGAAAGGGTCGAGAATCAGTCCATGGTTTATATGGTGTTTTTCTTCTATTTGGGGTGTATGTGCTAGTGAAGTTAATGCATTGAGTAGAGAGACACCCTGTTTATAAGCTGATAAATTCTGGTTAGACTATTCCCTCTCATATTTTAACAAGGTTAAAATTTGAGAGTGGAAAGCGTTTGTTTTAGACGGCTTTTTTTTTGCAGTTAAACCATTTTCGTATTATTTTCACATGGATTAGAGAAAGGTTAAGTTAGATAGAGTGAGGGTTAAGTTAGATAGGATTAGGTTTAGGTTACATATCCATGATTTTTTTTTTTTTTGTGAAACGGAAAAAGTATGTGGATTTCTTTTTCTTCTAGGTTTCATATTTATAGTTTGTTTTCTTCATATTATGAAATGATGCTTTATAAAGTCATAAAGTAAGGTAATTATTTACAAGTCTTTTATTAAAGTTACATCGGTTAATTGTAAAACAATTTACTGTACAATAGCTTAAATACATTTACAATCAGTTCTTAATTATGAATCCTTACAAAATTCTACTATAAACGATTCGAAAAATATGACAAAGCTTTAAGCTATTTTGTACCGGTAAACTAAAAAAAATACAATAATAATAAAAAAGCGCTAAATAAATTGTCATTTTAACCAACAATACTTGGAAAGATATGAGAACTTTGGTGAGGAACTCAAGTGCTAAAGCTAAAAGCTCGATAAGAAAATTAAACTAAAATTTTCTTTTCTTAAAGACTTAGGATTTATCCTTTAATTTTTAACAAATGTTATTGCAAGATTTAAATTAAGATAAAAATGAAATGAAAAGGCAAAATGTTAAATAAAAATAATTCATTAACAAACGTATTGACTCACATTCCATTGTTTTACAAATCCATTCTGCTTAGTTCCTCTCCCCTTCCCATCAAAAACAGTAACAAACAAACAGATAAAAATACAGTTACAAAAATATTTCCAGCATTAAAAAATATAGCCTTTCAGAGAATATTATTTAGTAAGCAGAGCAGCTTTAACAGTAATACGAGCATTTTGAAGCAAGGGTAGAAAACGTTAATATATCAACTGCTTTATTTTTATTATTTATAACCCCACAGTTTTTTTTTTTTTTTTTTTTAACAAAGTTTTTATATTTTAGTTCAATTTTGTAGATTTTAAGAACAAAAGTACTGTATCTATTAGTACACTGTAGGGTTACATAGAAAATGAACCAAATCACAATTTATATTTATTTAAAGTTTAATTTGCAATCAAATTATTATTTTATTCTGTTCATTCTGGTATTGACCTTGCTCTGTGGCTTTGGCTTATTGTGTTTCATATCAGCACACTTTGGTATATGTCTGGCAGCAGCGGATTCATTGAACTTTCTACCGCAGTGCGGGCAAGGCGTGTAATGCGAGGTATCCAACGGAGGAGGTGGCGGAAGGTCTGACAATTTACCACCCTTTGCGACGTAAGCTTGGGCTTCTTTGGCCGCTCTTATGGCAGAGATGAATTCTTCATGTTTCTGCCTCCAGTTTAGCTTCGGCCGAGGCTGAAACCGACGAAAAAAGAAAAAATCAGTATGTTTGCAATGTCAAACCTGAAATTGTATGTACAGTATTCTAGGGTAACCCCCCCCAAAAAAAAAAAAAAAAAATACAACAAAATCTTCCACAATTTTATACTCAGTCCTTAGAATGACCTATTCCCCAATCCATTGGACATAATTATTCATAAAAAATCCCAAAATTTTATAAAAACTCAAAGACCTCACGCATCTCCCTACATCCCATTGCCCCATAAGTTTGCTACCATTATTTGACCCAAAAAAATATTTGAAAGCTCTATTATCCATCCCATTTCAGATGACACCAGACTACCTCGACATCCTTCATTGAAGGAATACTGTTCGGGTGCTTTCCTAGATGCGAGGCAAGCCTTTGATCGTGTGGGGCATCTGAGCTTGCTTTGGAAACACAATGGCATGAGAACGTTCAAGTACGAATCGCAACATCCTACTCCCTAACCACTCTGAGAATGTGGGTATTTTGCAAGGCAGCATCCTTGATCCCATTCTGTATTAAGTATACACTCCAGATGCAGGCTAGAGAAATTCATGTTAAGGTGCGTTGGATGGGAGAAACTCACTGTCAAGACATCTACAGCTTCGTCTAGAGAAATTCAAGATATGGAAACATAGTTGGTTAGAGAAATTTAAGATAAGAGCAGTACAGTTGGTAGGGAGAAGGAGACAAGGACTTTTTGGGTATCTACATACTCCAGACATTCCTTTCAATACTGCTGCTCCTTACGCTGTTACTACTGCCATTCTTTTAACAAATCTGGAATAGTAATGGTCTTTAGAAACCTCCAGGACCAATTTCCTGCATGAAAAATGGTTCAAGAAATGGAAGATCAGACTCAACCTAAACACCTTTCCTCTAATCTACTACTGCTTTACTTAAGAAACCCCTCCAGTACAGAATCCTTCAAACCATTGTCTCAGTTACTTTGCACACAGACCTTCAAACTGCAAGATACACCTCGAACTTTGTTCCTCTCCCCGCAATCATTGTCCTCTATTTGGGACTTAACATTGACAAAAGACTTACTTAAAAACTCCAAAACTCAGCTTAAAATAAAAAATAAAAAAATAATAAAAATCGAACGGTTCAATGAAGTGTTCCAAACTCCAAAGAATCCACTCCAGTCTAACATCTTTCGAACTATTGTCCAAGCTTCCTACTTTACACACAGACTTTGAAACCTGAAGAAGTTTGTACACCTCAAACTCAGTTCTTTTCTCCCCACCTGTTGTCCTCTATTTGGGACTTAACATCGACAAACGACTTACTTAGAAACACAACTCAGCTCAAAACAATTGAATGGACTTACTGAGTGTTCCTAACTCCAAAGAATTTGATCTAGTCTATATAATTTTACAATCCTCACACCTGGAAATCCCTAAACCCTGGACTCTCAGACCTTTCATCCTGAACCTTTCCTGACAATGTCCTCTGTAATGAGGAAAGTGTGTTATGCAGCACTATAAAGAGTCTCCACTTTTATAAAATAAAATTTTAAAAAAGGATGATAAAATTACTTGTAACATAATAATAAAATTAAAAACAAATTAAAATAATTAATTAAATTTTGTTGTATGCCAAGAGTTTTGTAAAAGTTACTTACAGCATTTGCCACTGTTTTGGTTGGTTGTCGTAAATAGGATTCAGCCTCAGTTCCCTGGACTCGATGTTTCACTGGGTCGAACGCTTTCCGTTTCTTTGTTTTGGACTTTTTGCATATCTTCTCATGGACAGCAAGACGATCGGGTAGGAAAAAACGACCACAGATGGGGCAATCTTTTCTACCATCTTGCGGTGGTGATTTAGGCTTGGGCGGTTCAGACACAGCGATATTTTTGTGAGGAGCGCTCACCTGAAACAAATTGCCTTCTTAGTGTTTTATTTAATGGATGTTCTATAGAAAAAATCACTGATAGGCTTTGAAAACAATAATTAAACAATAAATTTAACGTTTTGCCATAAGTGAGATGAACTTACAGTTGTAGGCGATTTGATTCGGTTCATTGTGGGAACACTAGACTTTGTTGTGGGCGAAGGTATAGAAGTGCGTGGTTTTGTTGCTGTCGCATTCTGTGGCTGAATGATTTATTAGTCAGTATATATTTTTTTAAAGAAAAAACAAACAAAACACTTACAGATAACACATTTCTTGTCGGTATCGAGGAAGGCTTTCTTGTAGGTATAATCGAAGGAGAAGAAGGTTTGGCAATTTTTGATTTCATTTCATTTGGCCTTTTACTTATAGGCTTGCTATCATTCACCACATTCTAAAATTTTTTTTTACGTTTTATTTAGTTTATATTTTATAGAGGTAATAAATACTTATTTTAATTTGGTTGTCTTTTTTACTCTATTTATTGGAGTGTACTGATTGTAGCTTTTATCATTTGGTCATCCCGGTCTGCCTGTTCTTCCTGGTTTTTAATTGTAAATTGTCTCACAGTCCAAAACCCAGGGAGAGCAGGCAGGAAAATATGTTCTGACATACAGGAGGGTAATGACACTATTGCACTTATTACTATTACACTTAATACACTTTTTTAAAAAATTACTACTGAGAAAGGATTGTTCTAGTTTGACTACATATTTAACCATTTTTCAAAAGAAGGGTTGTTTTTTTAATCAAACATCAAATTGCTAACAACCAAACTTCAGCAAGTTTTAGATATTACAATAGAATAAAAGTTTGAACTTAATGATGCTTAAATCAAACTACAATTAGAAAAAAAAAACTAAGTGAATTATACTTATGATAAATTTTAAAACAATTTTTGCTATTTTGTTTTGTAATTTAACAATTATTAGATGAAAATTTTCCTCACCTGGTTTGGGCTTCCGACTTTCATTGACCTTAAACTTTTAGAAAGACTTGATATATCAGCACTTCCTATGTCTTTCTTGATGCTGTGCCTATCCATTTCTTTATAATTTCCGCATATAACAGGCCGATTTGACAGAATGTCTTGGTTCTGGGAGCTGTACAAGTTACCACCTAGGTTTGGAAGCCTTCGAAAAATTGGCAGCTCTGTCGGCTGTTTGGATTGGCTCGTCACTTTATGACTCCGAGTCTGGAACTCTCTGTTAAGAGGTTGCTCTTCTATGTTGTAGTTGATTCGATCTAGACTAGCTACTTTGTGTCTCAATGGCTCCAACGGGTAGCTTTTGTCACGCCCAGCCCCTCGTCGTTCTTCAAAGAGCTGGCGAACCTTACCACCCCTTTCGTCCTCCTTCCTGAAGTCAGTTCCAGGTTTTTTTAATCTAATCTATAATAAAATTAATGTTTTAGAGTGAAATAATATATGATATACATAAGAACATATCTTATGTAGTATTGTACAAGATATTTATTAATTTCCTTTCAAAAATTGAAAGTATGCCATAAATAAACCACTACCTAACCTAACATCAAAACGTTTTTAACCCTAACTGTAATTTACCATAGTCTGGCCCATCAACCCTACCAAACCTAACCCAAAAACGAATTCTAACTCTTATTTTAACTTTCTTTACCCTGAATGCCCCTAACCCTAATGCTGACTGAATACATGATCACTTCTGGTAACATGAAAAACATGTGCAAAATACTACAAATATTTTGGAACTATAAATCCATTTCATTCATCGTACTTTGCTACTAGCCAAATTACAATCTGCTTTGAAAATTGGTTTAAAATTCGGCACAGTGTTTATTAACTTCTGATTTTTTAAAAATGCGCTCGCATATTTTCTCCATTTCATGGAAAAGCATCAAATCATAAATATGTGACCTAACCCATCTCTAACCTTAACCTGAGCTAATACCAAAACGTTTTTAACCCGAACTGTAATTTACCATAGCCTGGCCCATCCCTAACCCTACCAAACCTAACCCAAAAAACGTTTTTTAACCCTTATTGTAACTTACTTTACCCTGCATGCCCCCAACCCTAACTCTAACCGAATACACTATCACTTCTGAAAACATGAAAAACTTGTGCCAAATACTATGAATATTTGGAAAATATGACTCCATTTCATCCATTGTACTTTGCTAATAGCCAAATTACAACCTGCTTTGAAAATTGGTTTAAAACTCGGCACAGTGTTCATTATGTTCTGGAATATATTTTTAAAAAAATGTACTCGCATATTTTCTCCAATTCATGGAAAAGCATCAAATCATGAATATTTAACCTAATCCATCTCTAACCTTACCCTAACATAATATCAAAACGTTTTTAACCCTAACTGTAACTTACCCTATCCTGACCCATCCCTAACTCTACCAAACTAAACTCAAAAAAATTTTAACTCTAACTGTAGCTAACCCTAGCCGAGCCATAAAACATGCCTACATTCCGGTATTGTGAAAAATTGTACAAAATATTTTGAATAATTGGGACCATCTGTAGATAATAATGAATCCATTGTACCTTGGTAACCCTTTTACTGTTATATATTAAGCTACTTTGAAAATGAGTTTAAAACTTAGTACAGTGTTTATCTTCTGGGATATAAAAAGAAAAACTCAAAACGTCAACCCTTACCTTAAATTTTCTAACATAATTAGACCTAACCTTAACATTAGACCTACCTAACTTGACCCTGCCACTAACCCTAACTCTAACCCAATCCATGACGCGAAAAAATCGTGGATATAGTCCCAAAACGTATCCATTTTTAAAATACAGGAAGCAAAAGATATTTTAACGAAGTTTTAATTGAATAACCTTCAACCACGGCCAGTCTTATGTCTAACCTGTTACATTTATGCAATTTTATAATTAAATTTTCAAGGTTTTTGTTGCTAACAATTTCATAAAGGATAGAAATCATGCTATTTTCAAAAGAATTGTTTTAAAGAAATGTAAAAAAGAATTTTGAATTTATCTTGCAAAATAAATAATCGAATTAAACTAAATGGTGTTTTCTACATTGGAATAGCCTCATTGACTTTCATAAAACAGTATGTTATAAATAATAATCTATTCCAGTATTTAGAAAACAACTGTTATTGTTATTATTTATTTATTTTATTTATTTTTTGTAGTGTTTATACAAAAGAGAAAGCAAAAGTTAAAAAGAGAACGTTTCTTGGACAAACAAAGAAAAAAAAAACCAACATCTTAACTACCGTTGAAATCACTCATCCAACGTTAGAATCAGTACAGTCGATATTTTTAAAGCAAATAGAGTCACAATTTGACCTGCCAACTTTTGACTTCAAAAATCCGTTTTATTCCGTCACAGATTGTTTTTCCAGATGGCGTTTAAAGCCTATTTCTTGGGATTCGACGTTCAAAGGAAGTGTGATTGTCACAGACAAAATACTACAGTTGAAAGATAAAACGGATGGCTAACATCACTTGATTACAAAACAAACATCATACAAGAATTCATCCCCAAAAATATAAATCGAATGCGATCTTTCAGACAAAAGTTGAAGTTTCAAGTAGTAAGGAGGAAAGAAGGAAGTAATTTTGCACCAATAGGACGCCGACGGCAGGACAAGAAGGACCAAAGGCGTAAGATGGTCGATGAAGAACCAATCCGGTTGTTGGAATGTGCTGTACGTTCGAAGTCGAAAAATAATATCCTATTCTGTTATAATTTTGATCCTGAGGTACTCAAGAGATCCTTGAGAAAAGGTCCAAAGCAATTTGGAACTTAGAAACTTAGGCTTGCCTGAAGAATGATGAACTTCATAAAAACAATTTACCTTGATTGAAATAAAGTACGAAGGCCGGGTGAGTGTTAAATAAATGATTTTTCCAAGAAGGTGCGCCTGTGAAGAGAGAATGTCACCGACTGAAAGCCCCAACGGACCCGGATCGAGGAGCTGGCAAGGCGATGCACCCACTCCTTCGTTTTCATCCACACACACGCAGACAAATCCCTTACTCAGCTTAACTTCGGCCGGCAAAATAGAGAAATAAGACAAACAAAAGAGAGACGACTGAAACCGCTGAGTCACATGAAGATTTCGACCGGCGCGTGCCAAAGATGGCAGACGCGGAAGGCTGAATTAAGTCAATTTTTTAAATTTAAGTATTCAAATTTCGATTAAAAAACAAAATTTAGGCACTATAAAACCAAAGAAACTAAGAGCGAATACAGACTTTGAGAATCTAGACCTGAGGTGCAATGGATCAAACCGATTCTTTCTCTTCGAGGGAAGTTCCCAATTATTCGTGGTACTTTTTTGAATTGTAGGTTTGATTATTATTTACAGCATTAGTTTACGAAAACTAAGATTATTCCAGTACAGAAAACATCATTTAGTCGAATTCGATTATATATTTTGCAATATAAATTCAAAATCCTTTCTTTAAAAAAAAATCCTTTTGAAAATGAAATACTTTCTATCACTTATGGAATTGTTAACAAAGAAAAACTTACAAATTAAATATACAAGAAATTTAATAAATGCGATTGAAACAAAATTTCTTGCAGGTTAAACTTAATAGAAATCTGATCGTGGTTGAAGATCATTCGACTTAAATCAAGTCTTTCGAAATCACGTTCTTCGTTGAAATATCTTTTGCTTCCTGTATGTTAAAAGTGAATATGTTTTGGGGTCGGGCTCACGATTTTTTCGCGTCATGCGTTGGGTTAGAGGTACAGTTAGGGATGACGTTTTGAGTTTCTCTATTTATATTTCAGATAACAAACACTTTGTGCCAAGTTTTAAACTAATTTTCGAAGTAATGTAAAGGTTATCAAGGTACAATGGATGAAATGGATTCGTTCTTATCTACACAAGTTCCCAATTATTCGTAGTATGTTTCACGAGTTTTCGACGAGTGCGTATGTGTTAGGTAAGAGTTAGAATTAGGGAGGCTAGGGTAAGTTACAGTTAGGGTTAGGCTAGGTAGTGTTAGGGATAGATTAGGTTAGGGTTAGATTGCATATACACACATTACATATTTAAAGTTATGGTTAGGACGAGTGTGATTCTTTTTTCATTATTAGTTTTTCTTTTTATATTCCAGAAAAGAATAAACACTTTATATCCAGTTCGAAATTTATTTTCAAAGCATGTTGTTTGCCTAGACCCAAGGTACAAGGATGAAATGGATTCATGCTTGTATACAGAAGTTCTCAACTACTATTCGAGGTATTTTGCATAATTTTTTTGGCGCCAATGATTTTGCGGGATCCGCTTGAGCTGGATTAGCGTTAGGATTAGGGATAGTCAGTCTAGATTAGGGTTAAGGATGAGTTAGGTTATAAGTTACAGTTACGGTTAAAGAAGTTTTGAATTAGGATACGTTAGGTTACACATTCATGATTCAATGTTTTTCCATGATGCGGAGAAAATATGCGAGTACCAATTTTTTTTTATTAGTTTCTCTTTTTTTATTCCTGAAGATAATAAACAGTTTATGCTCAGCTTTAAACCAATATGCAAAGCGGATTATATATTTACAAATTACAATGGATGAAACGAATTCATTCTCATCTAGCGAAATTCCCGATTATTTGCTGTATTGTGCACAATGTTTTCGCGTGTCATCGCATTTATGTTACCAGGGAGTGCGTGTGGGTTATATTAGAGTTGGGGTTAGGTAAGGGTAAGTTACAGTTAGGGCTAAATTCATATTTGGGTTAGGTTACATTAGGTCAGGTTAAACGGTGAATATACGTGAGTGCATATATTTTCATTATACGTTTTTCTTTTTACATTCCAGAAGATAAAAATACTTTGTGCCCAGTTTGAAATTTATTTTCAAAACAGGTTATATAATTTGCTAGACCCATGGTACAATGAATAAAATTGATTCTTTCTCATCTAGTGAAGCTCCCAATTATTTGTGGTATTTGGCACAATTTTTATGGTCTTGTAATCTGGCCTGCAGGTGTTGGACAAGCCTGATATTAAGCAGATTTTTCTTTTCAATAGTTACTTTCGTACTTTTTTTGAGTATTCAACCTTTCATGGCTGTGATAAAGCTTTTTAGTAATATGCTGTGTATAGTTAACTTGGCACCCAGAAATACTCCAAGGTGCTTGTATCTTGCGGAATCATGTTCGACATCAAGAAATTGTAATTTATTGCAGTCCTTCTACGAGTAAATAATTGTGCCTTAAGTGTCTTCATTTGTCGAATTTTCCTTTTGCTTTCAAATTGATTTTTACCCTTTTGTTAACCTGAATAAAATATTTTCATAGTCCTGAATATATTTGGTTTGTTCGACAAGGCCGAAAAAAAGCTGATATTGTGCAAACCGTTTTTCCCAAGTTGGTCACATTCAAGTCCAACGGCAACCGAGTCTATCGTCAC